CACCCATCAGCACCCATCAGCACCCATCAGCACCCATCAGCACCCATCAGCACCCATCAGCACCCAATCAGCAACCCATCAGCACCCATCAGCACCCATCAGCACCCATCATCACCCATCACCCCAGCCATCAGCACCCATCAGCACCCATCAGCAGCACCATCAGCACCCATCAGCACCCACAGCAGCACCCATCAGCACCCATCAGCACCCATCAGCACCCATCAGCACCCATCAGCACCCGCCATCGCAGCCACCCATCAGCACCCATCAGCACCCATCAGCACCCATCAGCACCCATCAGTCCACATCAGCACCCACCATCAGCACCCATACCATGATAGAATTCAAGAATGGTTGAGTAATGAGCCAAGGAGGCTCTATAGTACAAGCATGCAAGGAAGAGAGGTTGGAAGAAGGTGCAACCCTATTGGCCACTAAGTTGGCCAATGGGTGAGTTGCCTTGTGGAGTAGGGAACCCCACAATGTTGCTAGCTTGTGATTGGTTGGCCTTAGGACCAAATGTTGGCAAGTGCCAACCAAGGACCAAGACCAAACCAAATCTTGACCCAACCACAAAGTGTGGTTGGAGTGTACACCCAACCCCCCAATAGCTTAAAGAGCTACACCTATTCTAGCCTATGTATGTTGTATATATAAGATACATTTACAACACCCCATCAGCACCCATCAGCACCCATCAGCACCCATCAGCACCCATCAGCACCCATCAGCACCCATCAGCACCCATCAGCACCCATCAGCACCCATCAGCACCCATCAGCACCCATCAGCACCCATCAGCACCCATCAGCACCCATCAGCACCCACCAGCACCATCAGCACCCCCAGCACCCATCAGCACCCATCAGCACCCATCAGCACCCATCAGCACCCATCAGCACCCATCAGCACCCATCAGCACCCATCAGCACCCATCAGCACCCATCAGCACCCATCAGCACCCATCAGCACCCATCAGCACCCATCAGCACCCATCAGCACCCACCAGCACCCATCAGCACCCACCAGCACCCACCAGCACCCATCAGCCCCATCAGCACCCACCACGTTGCTGTCTCTGAGCAGCTGCTCGATGTTGCTCTGATTCAACTCGTCCGGCTGCACCACCCTCTCCACTCCTCTCCTCGCCCACCTCCAAAACGGCTAAGGGTTCATGGGCAGCAGGCAGGTGGCAGTAGGCAGGTGGGAGCAGGCAGGCAAAGGGAGCACGGAAGGATGAGGTGTTTGGATTGGAGTGAGAGCAGGGGGGGTGCAGTGCTCAAGGCTTCAGAAGTACTTGCCACGGGTACTCTTCCCTTTGCTCCCACCCCCCACCACTGCCCACCCGGCACCCTCCTCCCCGCCACCCTGTGCCCCCCCCCACTCCCCAGCAGCACCATGCAAGCAGCAGCATGCAAGCAGCACCATGCAAGCAGCAGCATGCAAGCAGCAACATGCAAGCAGCACCATGCAAGCAGCAGCATGCAAGCAGCAGCATGCAAGCAGCAGCATGCAAGCAGCAGCATGCAAGCAGCACTCACTGGTGGCGGGCTTCCTGGTGGGTGCTTTGAAGAACATGAGCATGTCGTGGGGGTTGGCCACCTGCCACCATGCATGCACACACACACACACATGTGCACCGGATAGATGAATGGATGGAACGTGCAACACACACATGCGCACATGCGCACATGCCCTCATGGACACACGCACACATGCACCATCCACCATACACAAACACAGTCCTCGGCCCATCCCATGCCATTATCACTCCCACCCCACCACCACATTGCCCCAATATGCCGTGCCCCACCATACCCCACTGTGCCCCGCCGTGCGCCACCGTGCCCCCACTGTGCCCCATGCGCCATGCACCTGTCCCCACCTTGCCCACGAACTGCTGCCCAAAGCGCTGCGAGTTGATGGTGGAGAAACCCGAGTAGTCCACCTGGTGGGAGAGGAGGGGGCAGAGGAGGGTGGGGGGAGGAGGGGGACAGGGGAGAGTGCGTTTGAGTCGACTCAACGCGCTGCGAGTTGACGGTGGTGAAGCCCAATAGGTCCACCTGGGGGGTGTGGGAGGGGAAGGGGTGGACCGGGGGGGGGGGGGGAGGTGGCACCTGAGTAACTGGAGTTCACTCGGACCCAAAGCGCTGCGAGTTGACGGTGGTGAAGCCCGAGTAGTCCACCTGAGGGAGGAGAGGGGGGTGAGGATGGAGGGTGGAGGGTGGAGGAAGGGGGAAAGGGGAGAACGGAGGAGTAAAGTGGCAAGGGGGTGAGCGGAAATGAAGGTAGAGAGTGCCAATGCGCGGAAAAGGGAGGCAGACAGGGAGCAGGGGTAGAGGGGTGAGGGAAGGATGAGGGCCATGGTCGCTTCACACTTGGAAACACAACTCGCCCTCGCCTTCACGTTGCTTCCACACAAAGGAACATTGCTCGCACAGCAAGGGCTGCATTCGCTTGAAACAAGAGCGACTCACGCGAATCCGTATGAGTGGCAGCGGTACCGGGTACCGGCGCCTCCCTGCCCCCTTCTCTGCCCCCACCGTCCAGCAGCCCGTCTGGCAGCTGTGCTGCTCGCCTCTCCCTGTAGCTGCGCTCTGCCTGCGCTATCATGCGCTGCACCTGTGTGGGAAGGGAACATGCATGGAGGGCATGTGGTACGGCAGGAGGGGACATGCATGGGAAGGATGGGACGAAAACCACGAGGGGCAGGGCAGGAAGAGGACGTGCATGGGAAGGGATGGGACAGGGCAGGGCGAGAGGAGGTCGGAGAGCTTCACAAGCGCAGCCGCACTGCTCAACTCTTGAGAGGTCTCAAGAATCGATCAATCCATCCATTGCATGCCACACTGACCCCTCTCCTGCTCCCCCCACCCTCATATCCCCCCAGGTCAGCCGACCCCTCTTCCTTCCCTCCACTGAGTCAGTCGGTCCCCACCAGCACGCCTGGCAGCAGTCTAACTCCCCTCCCCCCCCCTCCCCCATTCCCGCATCCCCCCTCCCCTTCACCCCCCTGTCACTACGGCTAAAGCCAAACTCCCTAACCTCCGCCGTTTTCCCCCCAATCCCTTCTTCCCCTCCCCCGTCTCACAGTGTTGGAGAGGAAGAGCGCCAGCTCCTCGGGGTCGCTGGCGTTCACGCCTGCGCATCCCAAAATGCCACCTGGTCACACTCCCCCCCGCCCCCCTCCCTTCGCACCCCCCTGATCTCACAGTGTTGGATAAGAAGAGCGCCAGCTCCTCGGGATCCCTGGCGTTCACACCCTGGGCATGCGCGTCCCTCAATGACACCTGACGCAGAGGGGAGGGAGAGGGGAGGGCGAACGGGGGACGGGAATGGAGGGGGAGGGAGGGAGATAGAGGGACGAGCGCCAGTGCCTCGGGATCCCTGGCGTTCACACCCTGGGCATGCGCATCCCTCAATGACACCTGGTGCATGGGGGAGGGAGGGGGGAGGGGGAGAGGTGTAGAGATGAGTGGAGAGGAGGAGGTGTGAGTGCATGCAAGGAGGCATACACACCATGCGATGGGGTGAGAGTAGAGTGGGTCAAAGGGCAAAGGGCAAGGGTGGACACAGTTGACCAGAGGCACTCAACTGACACCAACACAAATTGCCACCTGCCAGGGATACGACCTTACCTGATGGTGCGAGGGGCATGAGTTGAACTCACCTCGGCATACTCGAACGGGCGTGGAGTGGTGAGGGCGATGTTTTGTGTCTCAAACTTGTTTCCCTGTCAGCATGGCGGCACGGTGGCATGGCGGCATGGCGGCATGGTTGCATGGCGGCATGGTTGCATGGCGGCATGGTTGCATGGCGGCATGGTTGCATGGCGGCATGGTTGCATGGCGGCATGGTTGCATGGCGGCATGGTTGCATGGCGGCATGGTTGCATGGCGGCATGGTTGCATGGCGGCATGGTTGCATGGCGGCATGGTTGCATGGCGGCATGGTTGCATGGCGGCATGGTTGCATGGCGGCATGGTTGCATGGCGGCATGGTTGCATGGCGGCATGGTTGCATGGCGGCATGGTTGCATGGCGGCATGGTTGCATGGCGGCATGGTTGCATGGCGGCATGGTTGCATGGCGGCATGGTTGCATGGCGGCATGGTTGCATGGCGGCATGGTTGCATGGCGGCATGGTTGCATGGCGGCATGGCATGTGTGGGGCCGGTGAGGGGGAGGGAAGTGTGAGAGGGGACAAGGACGGCAGGGAGGATAGTGGGGATGGTAAGGGTAAGAGGTAGGAGAGGAACATGCAGGAATGAGACAGAGGCCCACGCTTCCAGCTCAACTTGCAAGCCCATGGCTTGTGGGCAGGGGAGTGTGGGCAGGGGGGGTGGGAGGGGGGAGAGGAGATACAATGCAGTCAGTCAGATACAGTGCAGCCAGATTGATTACACCCAGATACAGTGCACCTAGGTTTGTTGCACCTAGATTCAAAGCACCCAGGTTCACAGATTTCTTGCACCTCACGGCACCCATGTGCACAGATGCAGCGCACCTGGACGCGCAGGTGCAGCACGTGCTTGGGCTTGGCCTCGCCCTCCGCCAGCTGCGTCACCACTGACGACCCCGGCTGCGATATGAAGTAGCTTGCTCCCACTGGTGGCTGCTCGCCGGGAGGAATGGGAATGGGGGGAGGGAAGAGAGAGGGGAAGAGGGGAGGGTGACTTTTGAGCGACTCAAAAGGCTCTCTGCTAGTCATGTCACCACTGACGACCCTGGCTGTGATATGAAGTAGCTTGCTCCCACTGGTGGCTGCTCGCATGGTGGAAGGGAAGGGCAGAGAGAGTAGGAAAAGAGGAGGTAAGTGGAAGAGGAGGTAAGGGGGAGAAGAGGAGGTAATGAGGAGGGAGGGGAGGGGAGGTGAGGATACATGGAGATGGCATGAGATGAGGCATGTGACGGCGCAAGTTCCTTCCTTGTCACCCGTGCCTACCCACCCCAGGCGCCATGCTCGTCCCTCAAGCACGTGCCCCACAGAAAGAGGACGCAGTGCAAAACACACACCCATCCATTCCTCCCTTCCACCCCACACGCCCACTCCCCCTCGCGCCCACTCCACAGCATCCCTCCCCTCTATCTGAACCATGTCTCCCCCTGGCCGGCCCTTCGCCTCCCCATGCCCTCCCCATGGCCCCACATGCCCCCACATGCCCCATGCCCTCCCATACCGGCCCACGTTCCCACACAACCACGGGTCTGTCTGTCTCACCTGGGGCTCGATGCGGCACTCGTGCTCGTGCCCCCACACCACCAGGTCCAGGAAGGATGCGAACTTGCTCTCATCCACCGTCACCACCTTCTTTGTATTCGTCATGCGCACTGCCCTGGGGGGTTGTGCAAGGGGGGGTTGGAAGGGGAGAGGGGGAAGGGAAGAAGGGGAAGAAGCGGAGAGGGAAACTTGCTCTCATCCACTGTCACCACCTACTTTGCCCCCGCGTCATGAACAACGCCCTGGGGAGGGGGATGAAGGAAGAAGTGAGCGAAGGGGATGAAGGGGTGGTGGTGGAGAGGAAGGGAGAGAGATCAGCAAAAGAGGCTCGTACGGAAGATGGCAAAAAAACAATCACCTGATGCGGCTGCTGCTGCTAATCTGCTGGGAGGCCGAGCAATCACATTCGCCATAGCCTTCTCTGCTGCAATCACCTGCTCTGCTGAAATCACCTGCTCTGTTGAAATCACCTGCTCTGTCGAAATCACTTCAACACCTGCACTGTTATATCACTTCAACACCTGCACTGTTAATATCACTTCAACACCTGCTCTGTTGAAATCACCTGGTCTGCTGCACCCACCTGGGCAGCTGGGCTGCTGCGCGCACCTGTTCTGGTGCACGACCAAGATGTTGAACCAGTCGTCCTCACTCGTGCCCGGCTCGTCCGGTCGGATCCACTGCAGCCCCTGAGGGTTCTGCGGAGACAGGAGGGGGGGGGAGAGGGATGATGAGGGGTGATGGGGGGTGATGGGAGGTGATGGGGGGTGTTGGGGGTGATGGGGGTGATGGGGGTGATGGGGGGTGATGGGGGGAATGGGGAGGGAGGTGGAGGGCAGAGGCTCGTCCGGGAGAAATCCGCTGCAGCCCCTGCGGGTGGGTTCTGCTGTGCCTCGCCCGCGGTGCGGAGAGTGGAGGGGGAGGGGGGTGATGGCGGAAGAGGTTGGGGAGAGAGGCAGGGGAAAGAGGTGAGGGAGCTGTGGGGGGAGACGTGCGGGGGAGAGGTGGAAGTGAGTAGTGAGGGGGAAGAGGTGGAGAGAAGAGGTGGGGGGAAGACATGAGGGAGAGGTGAGGTGGAGAGCGTGGTGAAGATGGTTTGATGAAAACAGGTTCCTAGTCCTACTTACTGAAACCCGAACTCGCTCCTACTGCCTAATCACCCTTGCGCCCTCCCTTTTCCTCCACGCCCCACACCTCCACGGTCCACACATCCATGACACAACCCCACCCACACTCACGCAGACCCCGCACGCCCTTCATCCCCCCACACCCCTCGCCGCCCAACCCCACCAAGTTATCCCCCCACCAGCCGTCCCCCCCCTTCCTTCTGCTTCTCCCCACCCCCCAACTCACATCCATGATCATCTTGAGCCGCTCGTCCCGCATGTACCCCCACCCCCACGCCCTTGACCCCCCTCCCCTAACCCGCCTGCCCCCCTGCCCCCCCACCCGCCTGCCCCCTGCCCCCACCCCGCCTGCCTCCCTGCCCCCCCACCCGCCTGCCCCCCTGCCCCCCCACCCGCCTGCCCCCCAACTGACATCCATGATCATCTTGAGCCGCTCGTCCCGCATGTACCCAGCCCGTACAGGGCGATGCGGTTCGCGCCCTGTGAGGGGGGTTTAGGGGGAGGAAAGGGGAAAACGAGGCTCAGTGACTTGTGAGTCGACTCAAGAGTCACCTCGTCCCGCATGTGCCCCAACCCATACAGTGCTATGCGGTTCGCGCCCTGAGTGAAGGGGGGACATGTGAGCAGCGACATGTGCGGGAGCAACATTGAAAGTTACACCCAGCTTGCTTGAAAGCAACTTTCCAAGCATGAAACAGCAAGTTACCCTGCTTGCAAGCCACCCTCTCACCTTGCGCAGCAGCACGCCCTCACCTTGTCACCCACCCACCTTGCGCAGCAGCACGCCCCTCTCACCTTGCGCAGCAGCACGGGGTGCAGGGTGATCTGAGTGGCGTCATGCTCCGGGATGTTGGACTTGCCAAAGTAGCAAAGTGAGTTCTGAGTCGACTCAAATGTGCCCCCTTCTCACCTTGCGCAGCAGCACGGGATGCAGGGTGATCTGCGCGGCGTCATGCTCCGGGATGTTGGACTTGCCGAAGTAGTTCACCAGGTTGCACGATGACAGGATGTCCACCGCTAATAGGTTGTCCTGGTGGGGAGAGAGAGGCATGGGGCAGGCAAGGAGGCAGGCATGGGAGCATGGAGGCATGTTGGACTTGCCAAAGTAGTTCACCAGGTTGCACGATGACAGGATGTCCACCGCTGATAGGTTGTCCTGGCAGCATGAGAGGGTAGAGAGACAGAAGGAGGGGAAGGGAGGAGCGGGAGGGAATGCACTATTGATTGCAAGACGACAGGATGTGCACCGCTGACAAGCTATCCTGCAGCAAAGAGGGCAGTGGGGATACACGCATCCACACACGCACACTCAAGCACGCATGGGGGGCTGGGGGACGTGGCGACAGGCGAAGGTCAAGGTGCGTGGAGGAGGTGGAGGGGTGGGTGCAGTGCAGTGCAGTGCAGTGCAGTGGCCGCGGCAGCAGGCACCACCCCCCTCTGCCGCACGCCAAGTCAAATGGGGAGCTGAACTTTCTGCTTCTAGACGCATGCACAGGTGGGCTTTCCACTGGCGGTGGGAGGGGAAGGGAATGGAGAGGGATAAGGCACAACAGGGGGGAACAATCGTCCAGCTAACGCCATCGCCAAGCAAGCACGCCTCTAACCGCCCCTCCAACCGCATCCCCCACCACCCCCCCCCCCACCGCCCCTCCCAGCAGGTGCGCATGTGTGCATGTGGTCTCACTCACGATGCCGGCAGGGTCGTCATGGTTGCCATGCACGGTGAAGACGGGCATGCCCACGTTGTAGTGCTCGTCCTCGTAGTTCACATGCCCGAACCTGCCATGTACGACAGCACACGCAGCATGCACACGCATGCACACGCATGCACACGCATGCACACGCATGCAGCGTGGCAACATGGCAGCAGCACATGCAAAGAAGGCAGCCATACAAGGCAGTGCATACAACAGCAGTGCACTTGCATAGAAAGGACTTGCATAGAAAGGCTGCAGCAAGGGATACGACGAGGTGCAAGAGTGTGAAGGAAGAGAGATGAAGGCAGGGCGCTGGCGTCTGCAAAAGGCATGAGGACGCTCGAATAGGGGAAGTTACAAGATTGGTCGCTCACGAGTTGGGGAAGTTGAGGGTTTGGTCGCTGACGACTTGGAAGCGCACGGGGTTATCGCTGAGGCAGTAGCGGCGCAGAATGTCGATTGTGCGCACCAGCGTGGCGCGCGACGGCTTGTTGTCGTGAAACAGATCCCCGCCCAGCAGCAGGAAATCCACCTGCGCGCTCACATGCATACCAGGACACACGCGCACGTGAGCTCACATAGAGACAAGTCCAACTGAACGACTGACACTGCACCATGCAATACTCGTGCAGGCCCCCCCTCCCACCTGCAGCGACTGCGCGAGCTTGCAGATCTCCTCGAAGGCGGTGAAGGAGTCGTGACGGCGCACCATGGGAATACGCATGAAAGCCCTCCCCCTCCCCTTTCCTCCCCCCTGACCTGCAGCGACTGCGCTCACCTGCAGCGACTGCGCTCACCTGCAGCGACTGGGCTCACCTGTAGCGACTGGGCGAGCTTGCAGATCTCCTCGAAGGCGGTGAAGGAGTCGTGGCGGCGCACGTGGTCCTTCTCCATGAAGCCCAGGTGGTTGTCCGTCGCTACTAATATGGAGAACGCGTCCTCGCTGCGAGCAGGGAGCATGGGGAAGGGCGCACAAGGGGGGGGGGGGGGGGAGAAGAGGGCGACAGGGGTAGGCACGTCGTCCTTCTCCATGAATTTCAGGTGGTTGTCCGTCGCCACTAATATGCTGAACGCGTCTTCTCTGCGAGCCACGTGGGACGAGTGCACGGCGGGAGGAAGCATGCGGGGAGGGCGCACGAGGGGAGGGAGCATGGTGGGTGGAGGAGAAAGCATTGACGCGGTAGAAGAGGATTCGGATACGAACTGAGTCTCCCGTCATTCCACAAGACAGTTCCACAGCTATCCTTGGGCTCGCATGCTTGGAGCTTTGCCGGGCAGGCAGGTGTCTTCGACGGTTTCTGAGAGCCAAAGCATTCGGTTCCTACTGTTTGACTAGTCGCGAGATTCGGTTACTACTACTGATTCCGTAAATCGTAGCGTCTTGGTCGACCCTCGCGCTCCGAAGCACGCAAGGATCCGCGCATGGGCATGCATGCGGCGCAGCGAGTGCGACTCACCCGGCTCCCTGCGTGCCCTGCGACATTGTGGCAGGCGATTGTCGCTCTAGAAACCCCCGATTGGAGCGGGAAAGCGAAGTCTCCGGCAGTGATCTGCGAGTGAGCGACGAACGGAATCTCGTGAGCTGCGGCGGCGAATGCAGAACACGGCGATCAACGCTGGGAGCTGCTGCGACGAGGTGGCGATTTCAGAGATGGTGAGGCCTTTTCGAATTCCGAACAATTGAAAGTCACATTCTGGCAGTGGAGTGGCAGAAGCCGGATTATACCACTTTTCGTCACACGGGCAAGAGGAGTGGGACGTTCTCCTAGCAAGTCCCAAAGCTCCCAAGGCATAGAAAAGGCGGGAAGCGAGCCCTGGAGTTGTCGTCACCATGAAGTTGTCGCAGAATGAACCTCAGGAGTTTTGAGCTGTTGGGTGGGTCTGGGCCCTGGTTGGCTCGCGATGTATGAATCGCTTGTTTCGAAAATTTATAAGATCAATTTCTGTAGTGAAATTCATGTAGACAAAGCGACGAGACTGACATTTTTCGCAGGTCTGACTTTGTCGCAGATCGAGAGGAGCGTCATATGATTGGACAAGGCCAAATGTCTTTCACGGATTTGTCAAATTCAGCCGCGTGTTCCTGCGGCTCCTAAAACCGCAACCCACCAGCACTTAGCCTCACACGCAATTGCTGAGGGCTGGGTGAATTTGTCGCGTAAAACCACCACCTCGAGAATGCTTGGCCATCGGGGTTGTCCTGGTCATTCCGCTAGAGCCGACGCAAAGCACACAAATTTTGTTTTTGAGATCAATGAATGTCCAGTCTGACTTTCTAGGATCGCCTGCCTCTGGTGCCTATTTCCGCGCACCAGCGTCCCGTCACTCGCTCTGCGTGTCGCCATGGCCACCAGCGCCTCCCTTCTCGCGAACCCCCTCGCCGCCTCCCTCCAATCCACCGCCTTCCCGTCCGCATCCTCGCCCGCCTTCGCCGGCAAGCCTCTGCCCGCTCCGTCTCTAATGCGCTCGTCCGCCTCACCCGATCCCCTCCCCGCGCGCCCTCTCCGCTGCGAGGCCAGGCCCGCTGCGGCCGCCGCCGCCGCTGCTACCGCGACGACCGCGGCTGAGCGCGCGGCAGCGGTGGCGGCGGGGATGCCGTCGGCGGAGGAGATCATGGCGATCGAGCGCGACGTGGTGGTGCAGACGTACGGGCGCACGCCGCTCGTGGTGGCGGCGGGCGCGGGGAGCCGCCTGTACGATACGGCGGGGCGCGAATACATCGACATGGCGTCGGGCATCGCGGTGAACTCGCTGGGCCACGGCGATGCTGACTGGCTCGCCGCTGTCACGGATCAGGCCGCCACGCTGGCACACGTCAGCAATCTGTATTACACGTGGCCGATGGTGCAGCTGGCGCAGCGGCTGGTGCAATCGTCGTTCGCGGATCGCGTGTTCTTCGTGAATTCCGGCACGGAGGCGAACGAGGCGGCGATTAAGTTCGCGAGGAAGTACCAGCTGGCGAAGAGCGGCGACGAGCATGCGACGGAGTTCGTCGCATTCGGTAACTGCTTCCACGGTCGCACGATGGGCGCTCTCGCGCTCACCTACAAGCCGCAGTTCCGCGCGCCGTTCGAGCCGCTCATGCCCGGCGTCGCGTTCACCGAGTACGGCGATCTCGAGGCGGCGGACGCCGCCATCACCGCGGGGCGGACGGCGGCGGTGTTCGTGGAGCCGGTGCAGGGCGAGGGCGGCGTGTTCGCCGCCACCGCGGAGTTCCTGCGCGGCCTGCGCCGCCTGTGCGACGAGCGCGGCGCGCTGCTGGTTTTCGACGAGGTGAGGGGGAAGGGGGACGGGCGGAGGCGGCGATGGCGAAAGGGCGAGTGAATGAAGGGGGGAGAGTGGGTGGAGGATGGCGAGAGAAACCTTCTGTCAGCGCACAGCAGGGAAAATGCGCAGCTGGGGCAATTCGGGGGCTTTTTCACGCCCGTCGTCGTACTGGTTCCTCCTTCACTCGCGCTCAGCACCCCTGCCTGATTGCTCCATCCCTCCAACTGACCGATTGCGCAATTCCTCATCTCCTCCTTTGCCCCTCCGCTCGCTCCTCTCACCCGTTCCTCCTCCTGCATCCCACCCCCTGCTTCGGTGCATTCCGTTCCTTCCCTGTCCCCTCATTAATCCCCACATTGCCCCCCTGATTCATTCTGTGTCGCTCCTGCCCCTTTCTGCCCTCTTCCGCCTCGCCTGCCCCACCAACTCTCCCCCCCCGATCCCCCCATGCGTGCAGATCCAGTGCGGCCTGGGGCGCACGGGGCATGTGTGGGCGCACGAGGCTTACGGCGTCACGCCCGACATCATGACACTCGCCAAGCCCCTCGCAGGTACTGCCACCCTGCCACGCACGCACACATGCACGCATGCCCTGCCCCCTAACCCCTCTTGTGAGGCGCCTCAAAACAAGGCATATGGTGTCGCGCCCGACATCATGACTCTCGCCAAGCCCCTCGCAGGTACCGCCATGCTGCCATGCATACATGCCCTGCCCCCTAACCCTTAGCTCTGAGGCGCCTCAAAACTGGGCATGTGGTGTCACGCCCGACATCAGGACGCTTGCCAAGCCCCTCGCAGGTACCTGCCGCCATGCCACCACGCACACATGCATGCATGCCCAGCCCCCTAAACCCCTGTGCAACTTCTGTGCTCCCTGCACCTCCATGCCCTCCGCACCCCTCTTTCCTGAACGCCTGACATCATGCCGCTCGTCAAGCCCCTCACAGGTACTGCTATGACCCTGTGCAACCACCCGCCTCCTGCGCTCCTCCACAACATCTGTGCCTCGTGAACCTTTGTGCCCCCCGGGACCCTTGTGCAGCTGGATTTCTGTGGCCCCATTCCCTCTCTGCACCCACATCGCGTCCCTGCCCTGCACCCATCGCCTCTCTGTCCCGCACCCATCGCCGCTCTGTCCCGCAACCATCGCCTCTCTGCCCTGCTTTCACCTCCTACTCTTCATCTCTCCTACTTCACAGCTTCACTCCCCGTCCTTCCATCCTCCTCACATGCTCCCCCCTTCCCGCCCCCCCCATCCCTCCCCCCATGGCGCACGCGCAGGCGGGCTGCCCATAGGAGCGGTGCTGGTTACCAACTCTGTAGCAGCAGCCATGGCACCCGGCGACCACGGCAGCACCTTTGCCGGCAACCCACTCGTGTGCCGGGCAGCACTTGCTGTCCTCGATAAGATCTCCGACCCGGCCTTCCTCACCAGTGTGGAAGCCAAGGGGGAGCTGCTCCGGAAGCTGCTTCGGGAGAGGCTTGGGGGGAACCCGTATGTGAAGGAGGTTCGGGGGCGGGGGCTGATGGTGGGGGTGCAGCTGGATGTGGGGGCGGGACCACTGGTGGATGCGGCGAGAGGGGAGGGCGTGCTGGTGATTACGGCAGGCAAGGGTGATGTGGTGCGCCTCGTGCCACCTCTTGTTATCACAGAGGAGGAGATTGAGAAGGCTGTTGATGGCCTGGCTAAGAGCCTACCAGCGCTAGGCTGAAAACTGGACAAATATTTGAGCTGTCGGCACATTGATTACCTGTTTTATGATATCTGTGGAACACATGCTTGTTTTATCAATATTATTGTGCGGTCGTGTAGACAGTCTAATTGCGACACATGTAATGACGAGTTTTCGACCACACTTGACCATTTCCAGCTGTTGTTTTGTGCACTTGTTTTGTTTGTCCATATCCCTTGACTGCCCAAGTCGTGACCACCAGCCAATCATGTGCAATCCTCGACTTTCCACTTTGAACAGTCGAACAGTCAGCCGATTTTCGTGGATCAAATTTGCCCGCGTGCGATTTCTTTATCGACGCAGCGCTTTGACGTTTGGTCCATTCAACAGCAATCTGGAATCTAACTTCTGCCCATAAATTTTCCACCAAGCAGAACCGTCGCGCCTTTTCCTCATTCGCCGATAATTCCCCAATTGCTGACTGCCAGCTTGGAGAGTTTGTCCTGTCCGCCCGGTCGTGGTGGCATCTTGCGGGTCGCTGCCGCCAACTGGCGTGACTTGTGGCTCAGGCGCGGACAAGAGAGTGGAGTCAAGACCAGCCAACTGAAATCGTGCAACGCGATCGTGGGGCGGAACGCCAGACAAGAGAGCATCTTTTCACGCCTGAGGGTGAATCCCCTCTCGTGAAAAGGGGTGAGGAGGCGAGGCGAGGCAGCTCGCTTTTGACAGCTTCTTCGCCTAACGTAGATTTGGCCATACTTCGTTGTTTTGGGTTGGTTACGAAGAGGCAAAGGCAGCACTGGCAGCCAAAATAGCATTGCTTCTACTTGGCTCGAAATAGCTATTTTGGCCCTCCATACATCGACCTTCCGCACGACGTTATCAGCTCATCTGCCTTGGATCGCCGCTCAATTCGACGCGGTCTTAAATTGGTGCACAGATCTAACAGCGCAACAGCGCGACTGCCGAGATCGCAGCCGCGTCACAAACATGATGTCTCTCGTGGATGCTTCTCGCGAGGACGTCGGCGCGCCGCGGTAAGCGTACTAGATATCGCATTACCGACCGCTGCTTGTTTTCTTGCTTTCCCGCGTTATACGGTGAGCTTATGAGCGATCTGGGTCTGAATTGTTGTGGCGCTATTCGCGGCGGCTTTCAATGTGCCCAGCGGTGAATCGCGTTAAGAACGCAATGTGACGGTTGTTCCTGCATTGCCCCCTTCCCCCCCTCCCAGTCTCCCGCACATCAGATCCGCGCACTGCACCCGCACGGAAGCGCGACACGCGCGGTCTCTGTCGCACCAAGTGGTCGCACCGGTCGCTCAAAATGTCGCCGAAGCCGCTGATTCGTCGCAGCCGCGTTCGGATTCGGAAAGCGGGGGATCGACCCCTCCGCATCATCCGTCGCAGCTGTGGCAGCGGCGCAACTGGCAGCCCGCCGCGTCGCTTCAGCTCGACCCGCGCCGCCAATCCTCGCCGGCCGAAAAAGCAGCCTTCGGCGCGGCGCGCCATTCAAGGAGCGCAAGCGCCGCCGGGCTGTTTTCCGCGGATTTTGGCGGCGCTCGCCCCGATCGCGGTGCGAGCCCCCATGGAGCAGCCGTACGTCCCGCGGGGAGCGCTCGGCGGGCAACCCCTGCGGATTGCGCAACTGTCGGCACGGCGGAGGGGCGCAGCGTCGGCGCGCGACAAATGCTCGCTCGGTCGCACAGCGTCTCGGGTGGCGCGACGTCGTCATCAAAGGGAGCCGTTGCGACGGGCGCGGGCGTCGCACACGCAGGTGGCGCGTCGCAGGGTCACCGCGAGGCCATCTCGCGTCCCGTACGCGGCGCTTCCGCGTCACCGGTGCGCGTCGCCGCCATCCCCGCCATTTCGGGGGGGAGGCAACCGGCGGGGGGGAGCAGCGAGTCGGCGGCGCGGGGAGCTGGCGCATGTGGCGGAACCGTCGCCTCAGGTAGCAGCGCCGTGGTTGGCGGAACTGGCGTCGGCACAGGCAGCATCGGGACGCACGCGCGCACGTTTCGGCGGAGTGCGAGCTGCGCGTTCAGGGCGGGCGGAGAAAGCGAGGGGGATTGCGGCGAGCGCGCTTTGCGGAGGGGGCAGAGTCACGTAGTAAGGGGCAGCAGCAGCGGCGACGGCGGATGCCGCATTGCGCTCGTGCGCGCTGACGGCGGAGCGTCGGATGCTGCCGCCGCCAGCCCTGCTAGCAATCGGCGCGCTGGCGGCGCCGCGTTTCAGCGCGTGTTTTCCACTTCGTCCCTCGAGGAGCCCTTCCCTGCCGGCGCCGCCCTTTCCCCCCCGCGCGCGTCCCCAACTTGGCCCCCCGGGCACGCGCGCCGCCACTCCACTTGCGCCAACTTCCGCGCGCTCAGTCCCACCGACCGCGCGCTCCCGCGGAAGACCGCGGGGGCAGGGTCGGCTGGCTCGAGCTCAAGCGCTTCCGCGGCGAAGGCGGGAAATGCGCCAGTCGCCCCTACGGCGTCTGTCGCCGCCACTTCCGCGCAGGTTCACGCGGCGGGGGCGCCCGCGCCAGCGCCGAGCGCGGAAAGCCCTCCCGGCGGCGGGACGCCGCCGGCGGCTTTTCCGAGGGGAGCGGGCGTGGGCCGCGCGGGGACTCGGCGGAGCGCGTCGCTGGCGTCGTTGGCGGAATGGCAGCAGACCGGAGGAGCGGAGCCCCGCGTCGCGTCGCCAAAGCCCGCCCACTCGTTTCCGCCCCGGTGCGCGTCGTTTGAGTCGCAGGACCCCAAGGCGGCGGGACCAGCGAGTGCCGTTCTCTCCGCGAGTCACAGTCCGGGTCACAGGCGCAGCAACAGCCATGCCGTTGGCGGCAATGGCAACCGTGGCAGCAGCCATGGCGCGCCGAGCGTGAGTCCGCGACGACGCGCCATGCTGCCGCCGCCCTCGCCCACCCACCACCACCACCAGCAGCCGCAGCACCAGCAGCAGCAGCTGCCGCAGCAGCCGCCGCCGCAGCAGGCGCGGCAGAACGGCGTGTGGCGGCCCCCGCCTATCTTCACGCGGATCAGCGCGGACGATGATGGCGGGGAGGATGACGATGTGCCTCTAGCGGAAGCCGTTCCCCCGCTTGTGTCACACTCGCCCAGCTCCCCGCATGTAACCGCCCAAGCAGCGGAAGCAGCAGCAGAGGCGGCAGCGGATGCAGGCGCGAGCGCCCCCACCCCTTCCCCCCGATCCCCCCTCGCCTGGTCCTCCCCGCGCCTCGTCTCCCCCCGCCCCCCTTCCCCCTCTCACCCGCTCCCCCACTCCTCAAAGGCCCCCAGGCTGCCGCGCCTCTCCGCCTCGCCCGCGCCCCCCCTCCGCCCTCCGCCGCCCGCGCCCGCCCCACGCACGTGCCCCGCTGCTCCTCCGTGCCTACCGCAGCCCTGTCGCAGGTTCGGGTGCCTGCCGGACCTCCAGCCTCGGTGCGACGCTCGGGATCCCGGTCCAGTGAGTGGCAGCTGCAAGGCTCGGTGGGCGGGAAGAGTCAACCGGAGGGTTGGTCCGAGTCAGATGGGGAGAGCGGCAGCGTGAGGGAGCGGAGCGTGCATGCACGTAGCTGCCGCAGAGATGAGCGGCAGCGGCAGCAGCAGCAGCAGCAGCAGCAATGGTGACATCGGCGCTACTCTCAGCACGTCGCTTCCCTCGCCTCCTCCTGCCCTCCGCCGCCGCCAAACCACTCCCACCACCCGTCCCTCCGACGACCCCTCCCTTTCCCCTTCCCTTTCCCCCTCCTCGTCCTCCTCCTCCCCCTCTGGCGCGCACCCCCCTGCCCCCGCGCCCCCAACGCCCTCGCGCCGAGTGACCTTTAACTCCATGGTGCTCGTGCGCCGATTCTCCCCCCTCCTGCCCTCCTTCTCCCCCTCCTCCTCCCCCTCCCCCTCCTCCGCCCCCCCCTCACCATCACCACCAACAGCGATGCCCCCGCCTCCCCCGATTCCACCGCCTCCCCCAACGCCCCCGTTTCCTTGAGAGCCCCCCTCTCCCCCAGCTGGCCGTTCCCCCCGCCCCCCCGCGCGCCCTCTGCAGCGGACTTGCCCTCCCCCGCGGCCCTGAGGCACCTGGCCAAGTTTGGGCTGCTGGAAGCACCGTGGGGCAGATGAGACGAGCAAGCTAGGGGCACGTGAGAGGTGTTTTGAGTCGACTCAACACGACTCGGGCTGCTGGAGGTGCCGTGGGGCCGATGAGAGGAGCAGGGTGGAGGCACCATGAGAGGGGCTGCTGCACGCACCTTGGGGCAGATGAGCATGGTGGAGTCTACTATTGAGTCGACTCAACAACTGGCCAAGCTCGGGCTGCTGGAGGCACTGTGGGCCGATGAGCATTGGCCAGGAATCCTCGCCATCCAACGAGAGTGTGTTACTCGCAGCAGGAGAATCCTCTCCTTGCAACTGTTTTTCTTCCAGCAGTGCCGTGGTTCCCAAAGGGCTGCTGGAAGTTCACTGCTCATTCACTGCTCTACAGCACCTGATGCTGATGCTAATCCTTGTACCATACTACCCCGTATAGTGTTGCCATTGAGGTGATTTTTATGGCAGAAACAATTTCTTCGCTTGGACTGTTATGTTGCAGTGTGAAATGTGGAATACCGGTATATGGATCTCACACCACCAGTGACATCAACAAGAAAGGAACTGACACCAATGACATCGGAGCTCTTGCTACTCTACCACAGTCCACCATGCCATCCATGATCTGCTTGGTTGCAGCAAAGTAGGTGAGTAAGTTGACTTGGTCACTGCTGCTGCCGTCTCTTTCATCGAGGCCGACACAACTGTCAGGCTGACTTCACGGCATGTGTGTGGTTAACGTGCCATGCCATGCCGTAGCCCCAATACCAGATCAGCACTGCCAGTCGCCTGACTGAAAAGGTGGACTTGAAAAAAATGGTGTATTGAGACAAAAAGTATGCAGTAACACAAGGATTCCGATTGCTTCAAACCACCCTAAGCTCTGTACAGAACCAAATCCCATGCGATAGAACGAAAGAAAACCCCCCTCAGCATTGCGGGCTTGAGGAAAGAGCTTGTTACAAGCCACGGCACACACCCCTACACCTCCACTCCGCCACCCCTCCTCTGTTCCTTCTTCATTCAGTCTTTCTTGCCCTCCATCGTGCTCTGTCTCCCAACTTCTGCCCGCCTGCAAATGACATGAATGATGGCATGCCACACCAGACAAGCCACACCATGCCATGCCACACCATGCCATGCCACACCATGCCATGCCACACCATGCCATGCCACACCATGCCATGCCACACCATGCCATGCCACACCATGCCATGCCACACCATGCCATGCCACACCATGCCATGCCACACCATGCCATGCCACACCCAGCACTCAAAGCCATGGCATACCACACCATCCCATGCCATGCTACAAAATACCACAATTCGACATACCTCAGTTGGAGGTACCATGATATACATGCCATGCACTAGCGTGCCACACCATAATACACCACAGTTTAACTTACCCTGAGGGATTCAGCCCCCCACCATTGCCCAACAAACAGCTCACCCTGGGGTTTCAACCCCCCTTTGTCCTCGCTCCACTTTCCCTGAGGAATTCAGATTCCACCGTCACCCCTCACTCTACTCACCTTGGGGTTTCATCCCCCCATTCTCCGCGCTCTCTCACTCCACTTACCCTGAGGAATTCAGATTCCCACCGTTGCCCCTCACTCTCCTCACCATGGGGTTTCATCCCCCCATTCTCCGCACTCTCTCACTCCACATACCCGGAGGAATTCAGATTCCCACCGTTGCCCCTCACTCTCCTCACCATGGGGTTTCATCCCCCCATTCTCCTCGCTCTCTCACTTCTCTAACCCTGGGGTATTCAGGCCCCCACCATCGCCCCTCACTCCACTCACCCTCTCCTCGTTCACCTGCCAGCAGTAGGAGCAGCAGAAAGCCCACTTCCTTCACTCCCCTCCCCTTCCCCTTCCCTCTGCCAGCCCGTGGGAGCAGTAGGGGTTCACTCCCCTTCCCTCTGACTCACCCACCCAAGGGGGTTCACTCCCCTTCCCTCTGACTCACCCACCCAAGGGGGTTCACTCCCCTTCCCTCTGACTCACCCACCCAAGGGGTCTCCCCTTCCCTCTGACTCTCCCACCCAAGGGGGTTCACTCCCCTTCCCTCTGACTCACCCACCCAAGGGGGTTCACTCCCCTTCCCTCTGACTCACCCACCCAAGGGGGTTCACTCCCCTTCCCTCTGACTCACCCACCCAAGGGGGTTCACTCCCCTTCCCTCTGACTCACCCACCCAAGGGGGTTCACTCCCCTTCCCTCTGACTCACCCACCCAAGGGGTCTCCCCTTCCCTCTGACTCTCCCACCCAAGGGGGTTCACTCCCCTTCCCTCTGACTCACCCACCCAAGGGGGTTCACTCCCCTTCCCTCTGACTCACCCACCCAAGGGGGTTCACTCCCCTTCCCTCTGACTCACCCACCCAAGGGGGTTCACTCCCCTTCCCTCTGACTCACCCACCCAAGGGGGTTCACTCCCCTTCCCTCTGACTCACCCACCCAAGGGGTCTCCCCTTCCCTCTTGTCTCACCCACCCAAGGGGGTTCACTCCCCTTCCCTCTGACTCACCCACCCAAGGGGGTTCACTCCCCTTCCCTCTGACTCACCCACCCAAGGGGGTTCACTCCCCTTCCCTCTGACTCACCCACCCAAGGGGGTTCACTCCCCTTCCCTCTGACTCACCCACCCAAGTGGGTTCACTCCCCTTCCCTCTGACTCTCCCACCCAAGGGGATTCAGGCCCCACTCACCACCCAAGGGGTTTCAGGCCCCTTTCTCTCTCAGTCTCCCACCCAGCCCATCTCACCTTGACCTACCAGCAGTAGGAGCAGCAGAAAGCCCACTTTCTTAAGGAAACAGCACCCCCAGAGGCGGCGCCTGGTGGGGAGAAGTGTGGTAGTGGAAAATTGCTTCCAGCCCAAGACTCAAATCCCACCCCTGACGTAGCTAGAGCTGACGCGAACCAGAGCCGCCGGCCGGTCGGCTCTGACGGTGTCCATTAAGCCTTAAACGCCAGTTCGGTTACTTGAGCACCGAGTGCCGTGCCGCGCAGATTCCACCCCCAACACCCCACCCACAAGACACAACCCCAGGAGATGCTGCCCCTAAGGCAATGAACTCCCCACTTGCTCCCGTGCTCCCCCACCCACCCACCCACCCACCCCACACTTCACCCCCATGCCTCCTTACCTCTACTTACCTGAACTTACCTGAGCCGTGCAGAGCGCCATGATGCTGAGGCTGCTGGAAGGGGGGGGGGGGGGGGGGGTTGATTAGGAGGGGGGGCCAGGACTCCTCTGTGGTCCAGGCAGGGTGCTGCTGGGAGGGAAGGGAGGGAGAAGGGAGAGGCGGGGAGGTGAGTAAGAGGGAGCACTTCACTCTCCCGTCCTTGCTCCAGTGCTCCCACCTTCTGCCTGCAGGAGAGAAGAGGCAGAAGAGAGAGAGGAGGGGATCAGCTTATCATACCTCACCTGTAAACATACCTCACCTGTTACCATACCACACCTTGTACCATACCACACCTTGTACCATGCCTCACCTGCAGCTATATCTACCCTAGTCTGCCCTCTAGTCCCCCAGCCCCCATTGCTGCTGCTGCTGCTGCTGCTGCTGCCGCTTCTGCTGCTGCTACTGCTGCTGCCGGTCTGCTACTCTGCTTCCCCTGCTGCTGCTACTGCTGCTGCCGGTCTGCTACAGCCTTCGACGCACTGGGAGGGAAGGGAGAGGGAGTGAGGTAGGGGAGCAAGGGAGACCAGTGAGAATGGGACGAAGAGCAGGTAGCAGCGTGAAGACAGGGAGAGGGCAAGAAACGAGAGCGAGCACGGGAAAAAGACCGGCGGCAGCAGCATGAGTGCACGAGGGAAAAGAGGCTCACCTTGTTCCAGACGACCCCATCCCGATACTCTCCCATTCCATCCCAGCCGAGTGGAGTGCTGCCCCCCTCCCTGCACGGCCACAGGGGAGGGGCGTGAGGGAGCGTCGGTGTTGACCCCACACCCCTCCCCGCCACCTGCAATGCGCACACACAGAGCTAGTCAGAGCGCGGTGGTGGGAGCAAGTTGAATGGGAGACTGTGACTTGAAATCCAGCGCAAGGGAAGGGAGGAGGAACCACTGGTTGAGACCCAAGGGCACGGCCACAAGCTGCAGACCCAAGGGCACCTGAAAAAAAACCTGAGGGGTGAACCTGCACCTGAAGGGGATACCTGCACTGAACCTAAGGGGGTTACCTGAAGTGAGGGGGTCTGAGGCATGCAAATCGTGCTCAACCAGTGGCATTGTTTCAAAGGGAAGGCGAATGCACAACCGGCAAAGGAACTGGCAGCAAGAAAGCAACAGTGTGAAAACGACAAGAGTGATTCAGTATGAGCAGTGAGCAGCAGGCAAGAGTGAGTCCAGGGAGGTGAGAGCACTTAGCTGGCAGCTGAAGAGCCGCCGAGAGATGCTGGCTCGTGTCCCCTTCCCTCCCCTCCCCTCCCCTACTGCTTCCGCGCCCCCCG